TAATTATGTCGTTTCAAACCAATACCACATTTTGACCTCGGTTTATGTAACAGTTTGGTTTGCGTTTGAGTGCAAGTGTCACACATGCTATTGGCGTATCGCTTATCTTAACAAACTTCAATAATATCAATACCATGGTTACAATAGCCTGGCAAGAATAAAATCAATGAGGTAATCAACATAATTTCTGGTGATGAAGATCGTATTGTGCTTAGAGGTGTAATCCCAATTATTTGAACAATAATTTTAACATTGTCTACAAAATGCTCTTGACAATGTAATTTTCATCAGATACTAACTGGAAAGGCTAGTTTCTTGCATAATATATCTCATTATCCTGTTTTAGCATGTTCTGCTATACCAACGCGTCATGTGTAGGTAATTACAAACTACCATATATCAAGATTGACCATTTATGAACATAATAACAGAGGATATGCAGTTACTGTAACAGGGCCAACAAATGTGAACAGCCATATTATTGTAGCTCATCATATGATAACATCTAGTCTAGCTTAAAGAGCAGGAGTCGTCGCGCCATGCATGCGCGAGATATATAGGTATCATATAAACAAAGATGGCGACTTTGACTGTTGTGCAGATCAACGAGTACAAACTGAGACGTTACCAAGCTCTAATTAGATATTTTTAAGTGACTGGAAGGTATCGAAGGAGTCACCGGCGGTAATTAGTGCAAGTCGCGCCCAGGTCAAACCTCATACTTGTGATTTTCATTAGAAGAGCGCATTGGACTGTTGGAAAATTAATGTTTATCAACACAAATGTCGCACATGCGCAGCGCGACGACTGTCGCCCTTTAATAATGTTATTCTATTAACAATTGTGCTGTTAATATTAGATATGCAAGGAAACATATCAAACTTTATGGTAGCGAGCAGAGACAACGCGAAATCCAGGTTGATGTCAAGTTCACAATGACACGCATCGGCATGTTATGAACTAGATACCTTTAGTACCCGTGTAAATTTGATGCGTCAGCACGTATTTCTTAGGACGACGAAACAGTAATAAAGAGGGGTTTAGGAATGATGTTTCTGAAAACTTCCAAGAATTTTTTTTTTAATCTAATAAAAATCACCTTCTAATGTGAGGTCATTAATACGCTGCCTTGATTACCAAAATACCACCATCATGGCCTTTTCAATACAAATAAAAAATGTAAAACACAGCCGCATCAAAAATGATATTATCAGTATGAAAAATAAATCTGATTGACAACACTGTCCAGTTTGAAGGACGCATTTACCAATACACTGCTGATTGATTTGTTTCATTGTTTGCATAAAGCATACTTTTTACACGAATCAATTAAAAAGAGAAGAAATTAAATTCTGATATATCGTTAATGTTGTGTGACATGTTTGATAAAAATGTTTTTTTTTTGTACTTTCCCGAATCTACATAGATGTCTCTTTTTCGTGTACAATTATATAACATATGGAACACACAAAATGATTGTCCAAAATTATCTCAAAATAAGAATATGTTAATGTTTTTATGATTTAATTTTTCATTTGCATACACTTTGCATAAATAATGACATCATTCAACAAGTGTAGCATATACTTTGTAGATTACCCCCACAGCAGTATGTACTTATGACTTTTCACAGAACATTAATTAAAGATTTATATTGTCATGTGAACACATAATGTGTAATGAATGATATTATAGATATTGGTTCGAAAGAGAGGTTGAACTATCCTCTTCCACGAAAATTTTCAACAACTAAACCGGTGGCGACACCGATACATCAGACGAGGAATCGAGTACAGGGAATCTGTTGCTTGTCGATATCAGCCAAATCATGTTAGTACGTCCATGGCCAAATGAACAATGTCATCGTTTCCGTTTACGCAGAGATCGTGTGCCCTTATATTTTCCGTTGACACTGCCGTTTTAGTTTTCTATCGGCAAAGGTTTAAATCCATTCACACAGCTTTACGTTTTTTTCTCTAGAAAAAATAATTTTAATAAAACGAAGTTGATTGCCTGGATACACGAGTTTGATCCGTTGTACGCTTTGTTTGGAGTTCAAAGTAATGAACGTTGTCATAACAAATTATACTTGCTAATTGCGACGACAAAACCTAACATCTATATAGCATACTAGTAGTCAAAAACAAGTAAACGTTTCTATTGAAAACTGTAATTTGAATACTAATTTTGCGTAACGAACTTGGTAACCGTTGTGATGAAGGCGTAATTGGGCGATACTTACCCATCATCTTGTATTTCTATCATCACCAATAATTCACGAGCAGTAACTGAAGAAGGGAGTGTTTTCTTGTGATTTCTACGGCGTCTCGCTGTGGTTTTCTTATCGTAGCAAATTGTTTCTTCAGACATCGGACATTTTGTTTCACCGTGATAATACTAGTAGTTTAATTAGATTTCTAATAAACACGCATTGTTTGCGACAGGAAGCTTATCACCCGTCACAGTCAATATCAGATAAACATTATGCATATATCATAGTGTTCTAGGTTCTTCGCGTAATTAGGTGTTCGTATGCAAGGGATTTTTCCACACAAAAACGATAAATTAGGTCGAATTTTGTTACCGGTTGGCTTAATATAACCCCAACGGACCGTACTTTTTATGAAAGATTGGTATTTTTGTCCTGATTTGTAGGAATCTGAAAAACGCGTTTCACAACTTGTCTCTTATTTAGTTTTATGCGTCATTAAAGATGGCGGCCCCCATATGGTAAATATCGTATTTATTTTATTATCACGTGTGCGCCAGCTGTCTGTGCCACGAAACTACAGTTGTAGTTATTTGTGTTAGCGTTTAAAA